TTACGTGCAATGCGGAGTAAATCATGGGCCAATAGTTGACAGGTTTACATGCAACTTGTTGCGTGCTGCGGCCTTGAAACTTGAACACCTCGCACTAAGTTCACCGGAGCCGAGTAAGCCTGCAGAACCGAGGTTCTGCTTATATTGCATTATAATGCGCACAAGGCGTCTAATGACATGAAAAATGCGTCGATATGGCTATACCTCAGTCGCGTTACGGTCATAGCTTTCTGAGTAAATTTAATATGCAGTGGTGCTCTATTCTATTATAATACGTGAAGGTCGTCTAGCAACATGAAAGAGGCTGCGGCGACACTTCAGTAATATAACTGTGGTGCGGTGCGGTTATAAGCTCTCGAGTATATTCAACGTACGTTTTCACTAAATATCGAGTTCAGAAAGTTTTTTTTCAGATTAGGTCCAATTTGATCCAAAGGTTGCTTGCTTTGCACCAGTTATGTCACTCTCTGAGACACGGCTGGGATCAAAACCCTGCATCGATGGAAAAACAGACTACGTGTAAAATAAGACAGACAAAAAGACCTACACTGAGAATTTTCCTTACTAATCAAATATTCGCAGCTAATGTCTTCAATTAAACCTTAGTAAAAATGTTCAACTAGAATCAAAACAATTATTTCTTTTTTCACTCGTTGACTTCAAATCAGGATGTAATTGTTCAGTACATCGATTAAGTGGTACATTTTATTACATTGGTTAACAAATGTGTAGACTCGGGCGGTATGTGTTGATAAAAGAATGCAAGAAATATATATTAATACGACGTCACCAATATACAACATAACTACATATGCAAACCCAATACGGCATGTTCTTGAGAAAATCTGGCATACACATTACACAATTGGCATGTGGGAAATAATATTATTAATAAAATAATAATATTAATAATAAATAATACTTGCAAATAAGCACATATAATATTGAAACTGAGAGACAGCAATGTAGGATTATGGTTACAAATGATGGTAGGACACTTAATGAAAGTGACAAAAAAAAATCCTTTTATAATTAGCAAAAGTTATAGAAATCTGCATGCAACCGTAAGTTACGGGCTGCTTGATGGAGCTTGTCTCCGCGGTGAAATGTTGACAGAAGTCCAGCTATACAAACACTTCAGAACAACGATGTATACACTTGTTCAAACTTGGTCATCGGAAATAATTAAATACGGTACACGTGTGTTCTGATATGTAAATCTGAAACGATGAACACGTATTCAGACATGTAGATCTGAAAGAATGTATACGTGTTCAGACATGTAGATCTGGAACGATGTACACGTGCACATCTGAAAGTAAATGTACAATGTTTAAGTAAGTGTAAGTGTGCACATTTGAACGCGGTAACAACCCAGTCAAACAAGAGGACGTGTGTTAATCAATGTGGATAATAAATCTAGGCTCCTAATTGCTGCTCACATCACACTGTTCCTTTGTTAGTGGCAATATTTAGGTTCGCACATATATTGAATACGATACACTGCCAAAAAACTCCTGAACAAACTACAGACCTTAAAATTAACAAACCTGAAGACTTATCAAACTATCCCATATATGTACAGGCATATTTGGTCAGGCCCAAACCGTGGTTGCAGGTTTACCTTGCGACAGGATGATGGTTGAAGATCACCAGGTTGCAAAAACTTGGCTGGGCGGTGAAGCCACAGCGAACACAAGATTTTCTGGCTCTTAACCGATCAAAAGCTTAGTTCCTCTGGCCACTCTTACAAGTCGTGCAGATAATTTGTTTCTATTCAAGTAAACTGAACACGGTAGTTCTCGGTAGCTCTCATTTGTTAAGCATTAAATATATCATCGAGCACAGCGGTTCTCAGTACAGTCGGTCCTGGACTCTAGTCTCTAACTATATACCCTTGCTGGCTTCTGAATCCGTCACGTGAAAATAATTTTGGAAGAATAAAAGAAATCTCAGCTAACTTTCAATATCATAGCAATCGACCACAAGCCTCAGGACTTCAAGATGGTGAGAAGCTATTCGCATTTCATCGTCGATGATCCGATGATTTCAATCTAAGTTCCATGGTTCGCAAGATGCTGAGGATGCACCGAATAATTTAGTTTCACATTCAGCCTACCTCATAATCCTTCATAATCTACTGCATGTCAACAGCACGAGAGTTATTTAGTTCGATTAAACATCTATTATCCTTTTAAGAATCACAACTTCACGAAACGAGTCGATAAATGAATGCTGGAATAAAAAAAATTCACAATTGAGAGAGAAATCGAACACAACTGAGAGACAAACTTCCATTCTAAAGTTAGATTTAATTTCCAAGCGGAAATTCCCGTTCGTAAAATATTCATTGGTACGAAAGTAAATTTTTTTACTTATTTACATGAAATGAGGAGTTAAAATAAGAAAGTAAAGCCTCAATACCTTCGAGAACAAAGATCAGTACTACTGATCTACTATATAGCACTTTAAGAAATTAAATTTAATCAAAGATTATCATTAAGTATGTGGTGCTAAGCCGCCACTTGTGCTAAAAGGCAGTATACGATAAAATATTCATTCTTTGAAAGTGAATTTGTACTCGGAATCCTTCACCAAAATAATCGTTACGATTTTTGGGGCGCTCTTGAAACTAACTAGGTATTTCTCCTCTCTCATGACAAAACAAGCCTTATGAAGTTATGAGGCACCCTGAATTGAAGCTACGGGTAGACTTGCGTACTGGCCGGGTAAAGATGAATGAAAGACGACATACTGCTAGTCTGCAATGTACCCTATGGAGATGTATGTTTTCTGTGATTTTCTCCTAGGTTATCGACCACTTTGTTTAGAAATGTTTATATTTTAATCAATAAATTCCGCGCAAATTGCTGTGCCTTGTACAACTTCCTTCTGACTGAAGGCTTCGACTAAACTGTACCTACAAAAGTTCAAAATCACACGTGAAATTCCTTTCACGTTGCGAGTATATAATACAATGATTCGAAATTTCGAATACATCAATACATGCTACTTGTTGAAAACTATCCATTATGAAAAAAAAGGAAGAACAATACATTATTAAGAAGAAATTTGCCTAATATCCAGGCTACACTTAATGTTAATCAAGTTGATCACAATAGCCGAGATCTTCGAGTGTGGGAATCTGATTCAATAGATACTCGTCTACATTACGCTACACTTAGGCTCTCTACTACTCAACGGATCTACAACAGGCAACCAGCTACCGTAATCAAGTAATTTTCTTGGAGTTTTAGCACATATTGCGTTTCAACAACGTACCCGTATTCAAAACTTGAGTTGGTGGCGATTATTATGAAGAAACTGAAATAAATCTGAACCTTTATAAGTGTTAATACTAGAGTAGGGTTAGCAGCAGGGTGGTCAGACAGCGCTTCTGGCATCAGCTGATATGAACTTTTGAGTCGAGATCAATACGCAATGCAGCATGTACGGAAAACATTTTAATTCCGTAACATTCACCAAATTATTGACAATTCGCTAAGAATTCAGAATACTATTGGATGCCAAGCAAGTTCGAATTAATAGTGAATAGACTAAAATTTAGCTATCGTGAATGCAGGGACCAACAAGCAAGAAATTGCGTCGTGCATGAGCACTCTGCAGTTGCCAGCGAAACGAAGACGCATTTCTCAATAGCTACATGATCCCTAAGACTCAAGACGTCGCGTAAATTTTTCCAGAACCCTAAAATGATTTATTTACTAAAGTAAACACAAGAGGAAATCTTATGGTTCAACACAACAAGCTTCGTTCCAAGATGTCAATGCAAGATCGACGTATGGTACCGCTAGGTATAATACGGCGATTGTTTGAACAAAGACGCTACTTCGGTTAAATTCAAGCTGCTGAAAGATTTCAATCATAAGTTAGCTAGAATTCAATGAAAAGACTAAAATAATATGGATGGTTCTAAAGTGGAAAAAGTCACATATTTCAATGATAGAACCACAGAGCAAGGTGCCATAACGGACCACGCATGGGATCACACCTTACAGGACACCAGCTGTGAACGAACTAGCAACCGCTGGTCCATCAGGCATCAACCCGTACAGCTGGCCGAGCAGTTCGCACGCGCTCTCTACAGCGAGTTGCCAATGACATATAAACAAACCATCAGGCTCATCATATATAACGTCTTTATTAATACAAACGTAAGACGTTAATATAACAATGATTTTAGCATGCAAACAAATTTTTACAGAACTTTTAAATAAGATAATAGAAGCTAAATAAAATGTTTAATATGAAAAATAGATGTGAACGACCGCGATGCCATACGTCGCCAGACGACTATTTATATTGCGTTGGTTACTTTGTTTCCACCATATCACAGCCACAGCTGAGAGCTCGACTACTCCGTAATAACAAAAAATCACTGTATGCAATAAAAATCTTCTCAATTTTACAATCGTCAAGACTGCAACTTCATGCACCTTGACACAAATTTCATTCACGAAGACGTAACCTGCAGTCGAATAGAAAGTTGTTTATGTTTTGCATTCGCTTCTTTGTTCGCCAAGCAACACCAACTAGGTAACCGAGAGACTGAGTTGACAATGCATGCACTACAACCTAGCCTTAGATCTCATGGAAATACCTGCATTTCATTGATAATAATGAGGACTTCCACTTTTAAGAGTAGTCGAACAGTAATGCATCTCACTCAACGTAAGGTATCACAAAAGGTATTAAATAGTTAAAATGTGTGTAGCAGTGCATCGATGATATAGAAAACACCTTCGCATTTCTATTCCAGTAATTGAGTGAAACTCTCCATCTATAAATTTTGATAGTAACAGATACTCATGATAACATTTTGATAATTCAATAAAAACGAGTCACGATTCGTCGAAAGGAAGTGACCATAGATGCGTCTGTTGTAGATGCTCAGTTTTATTTAGCTCGTGCGCATCAAATGTGTCACAGATTACCATCCTACAAGGTCAATGGATTCTCTGAACATTTAATCGACTCACCATTTAGCGCAGGGAAGAAAAACTCCTCATAACCGCACATTGTCGGTTGTTAAAGGTATATAAATCGTCACCTTCACTTCTATTCTCTGACACCCACTCTGATTCACGGCTCTCACCTAACTAACACTCGGGTCCCGGTGAGCCCTACGACCATTACCATCGCTCGCATGGCTCATTGCTTTTCCTTGACGTTCAAAATCGATCCTTTGTCAGATTCTATGTATTTCTTGCTATTTATTCCACGATTCTCGTCAATTCACACAGTATTGTGCAGTTCTTCTTGTCACGTTTCCTCAACTACCCGTCAGAAACATCTGGCTACGAAAAATCGGCTCGACACCTACTAAGTAGGTGAATTATACTCCTCATCGCTGAAAATTTTTCAAGTACAGTATATATAAAGTTTGCAATGCCTCTTAGAAGCTACTACATGTGAAAGGTTCAAATACTTAAAAATATTGTTTATGCAGCGAATTAATTGACGCATCCATCAAAATCGGTACAATTTTTTTCATATTCCTTATTACAGACACGTTAAAGATCCATCATACAATTGTTGACTTAACCTTATCATGTAATTTCTATATATATCTTTCTGATAATATTATAATATAGAATCTAGATGTAATATGGCTTTAGAAAATAGGTGATAAATTTGTGATTGCATTTCAATTCGCGACATTTAACATCTTTTCTTTGTGGCGATTACCGGTAGAACTCAATCCAAATCTGAATGCTCAGGCTCTGCCATCATTCGACGCGAAATACGGCTATACTGCGACAAACATTTTGTTTTACGTTTTCTCTGAGCAGAAAAGCTCTCTTTCCTTTTTGGGTGAGGGTCATAGACATGAAGGTATATTGAGCGAGTTACTCCGGTGTTCGGTTTCGACCGTTTCGTATCTTTTTATAGTTTTTAAATTAGAAATTTTTACAATTACCAATCGTACTACCGCTTGGGAGCCATTTTTATTCACTATATGGCTAATTTGTTTGTTCATTCGACGTTTTGAACGTGACAGCATAATGGGAACTTATGCTTGCTTCATCACGCACTCACTCCCAATCGCCAAGTCAATGGTTCTCAGTATATCAAGCGCTTGCCACGAAGAAAGGAGACCACATGGGAGACCGGCTCTTCTATACTGTCTTCGGGTGCTTCAGAGCTTCTTCGAGAGCGGGAGCCATTGTTTACAAATTGGCTGGCATCGTGCGTGCAATTTTTAAGATAATTCATATCTCTTCATTTTATTTGAAAATTATTTCTACCAGTTGTTATAAACAGCACGTCTGTATAATGGTTTTTCGGATTCATGTTTTACCAAACTACTAACGTGAATAATTTTGTTTCAGGAATTTTGCTGAATTATAATTTTATTGAAATTATTACTCTCAAACGACAAATAATGCAGATAAATACTAAGCACGGAACTCGAGTAGCGTTCCTTAACCGTCTGTAGCAGCGCCTGGTTAAATAAAATGCTATTCGCATCGAATTAATTTTAATTGATCCGCCGTTCAGATTTAACAGAATTTTTACAATGATAAAGCATTTAAAGTTTTAAAATTCTTTGATGAGAAACGTTATTTTATAAAAGCACAACTAGGGAATGATAACCTAGAAGCAACAGTTTTTTTCAAATATCTCGTTATGTGAAAGTAACGTCTAAAGAATAGTTAATACAAATTCACGCCGTAAATTTTTATCTCTGACGTCCTATTGAAATTGCGGAAACATTTTCCTTTGACACGAACAACTTAAATATTTTTTCTCAAAGCCTATCCTATTAATAAAAAATCTAATATAAATACCCTCAATCCATTTTTTATGAATCATAAATCCGATATGATTTCCCGCAAACCGTCAGAGTTGATATATTAGAGGAGGAAGAATTATTTCTGAATCACTGCCATCGTTCCGAAAGCCTGTACCCTCCCAGCTAGGTGAGGAGCGAGTCTATGCTCTTAATGTTACATTCTGTGAACATGAGGCATGAAATACAGGGTGAATGTAAAGGTTGGGCTGTGAAATCCGGTTACTTCATAGTATATTTTGTGGAGAAGTAATGGGGAGATGGACTCTGGGAATAGTAATGAATCGCTGGTAAGGCTGGAGTACGAAGTCTTGGTTACTACCAAATATATCTTATGGAGATAGTAAAGAGGGGATTAAATACAGGGTGTATACACGTGGTTGGCTGTGAAGTACGGGTTATTTCGTATGATATGTTGAGAAATGAATGGGGGATAATATGCAGGGTGTATAAAAAGCGGGGGGGGGGAGGGGCGGTGGAGGGTACGAAGTCTAGGTAACTTTTCTGGATATCTCGTGGAGACAAACAAGATATGCAGACAAGATGTAAGATATTCATTATTAAACCCTGAAATACAGGTTTAAATTCTGATATGTTGTGGCAATAGGACATGACATCTAGTGATGTATCGAGTTAAGACTTATGGGAAGGTCTAAATTATTCCGAGGTCTGAACTCGTCCTGTTATTTTATATTTTGTATAGATTGATTAATTGTACTTGCGGTATTGCCGTATTGGATGAAATATATAACAAGGTGCAATGTCATAAAGATTATATGGAACTGTATTCATATCCATATATGATATACATATAGTTATGTATAGATATCGCGATGGGATCTGCAAGAGCGATAGATAACATTGTTTCGCTTCAACATTTCAAAGATTTTATAAAAATACTCGATGTAATATTCACAACTTGTGTATGCATACTAAAATTTTGTCAAGAAGTTGAATTGAATATTGATATCACTTTACTGGTTTATAACAATTAAATGAACATTAATTTTTTGAAAGATTTTTGTCGAAATCTTCGACCGGTAATTTTTCCATGTTCTTATAAATAGAAAAAAAAGGCTGTATACCTACAAAATAAAAATGCGAGCCACGTTTGTGTTGGAATGATGATTTGGCAAAGCAAACCACCGTTGATCGATAATATGAATATATTGATGTTGGAGAAAAATACCGTGTAGCAAATTTATGCACATGCAACGCAGAAATTTCAAAGAATCTGCGAGTGAAATCTGTGATGCGCGAGTGAAAATAAAATTTTATTTTAAAAAATTTTTGGTTTTATACAAAAAGCCTTGTTATGCAAATGATACAAGAATAGCGGCCGAGTTTATAACGAGAATATCCAGTCGAATTAAGAACCTAATGAGAGATTTTATCTTCATTCTGATTAATATAAGCACCAATCTCCATATGACATTTAAGGTTAATGGCGTCACTAGAGCACTAATGTTGCTAGTGCACTTGTGTCACTAGAGCAATAGTGTCCATAGAACACTATTGTCACTAGAACACTAGTGCACTTAATGTCGCTATATTGCACTTGTGTCACTATTGCACTTGCGTCACTAGAGCACTAGTGTCTTAAGGCCACGTCACTTAGTGCCACGTCACTCCCAGAAAGATGACGAAGAGAATCAAACGCGGGAAGTCGAGACGCTTCTTGTGAATAGAAGGTCCTGGCTTCCATTGTATGGGGCATGGGGAGGCGCGCTGCCTGGAGAAGGGGCACGCGGTTGAGGATTGGGGCGCTGGGAAGAGCGATCGATAGGAGCTGAGCTCAACGTTCCCAGTAACCTCCCCGAGCGTGAAGCCCCAGATTCCCCCTTCCCCACTGATGATAGCATTCGCGGGGGCTTGGCATGGGGACCTTCCCGGGAATCGTTATACCTCCCCCTGAATGAGGGCAATCGTATACCTCCCCCTGACTGAGGGCAATCGTATACCTCCCCCTGAATGAGGGGAATCGTTATACCTCCCCCTGAATGAGGGGAATCGTTATACCTCCCCATGACTGAGGGGAATCGTTATACCTCCCCCTGACTGAGGGGAATCGTTATACCTCCCCCTGACTGAGGGCAATCGTTATACCTCCCCCTGACTGAGGGGAATCGTTATACCTCCCCCTGACTGAGGGAAATCGCTATACCTCCCCCTGACTGAGGGCAATCGTTTCCCCCTGACTGAGGGGAATCGTTATACCTCCCCCTGAATGAGCTCGGTCAGGTCGGTAGGAGCGATTAGGGGGTCGTGGGGCGCCTGGGCCTTAGCGTGCACAAATGAAAAGTAAAAGATGAGCACGTGCGGAAATAAAAAGATGTGCGTGTGCGAAATTTAAAAGATGTGTGCGTGCGACAATGTGATGATGTGCTTTTGAAAACGAAATTTGTGCGTGCGCGAAAATGTGAAAATCAATTACATGTGAAAATATAGAGATGTGCTAGAGTGACAATGTGGCAATGGGCGAGTGAAAATTAAAATGGCGTGCCCGTGCAAAAATGTGATGATGTGCTCATGTGAAAATTAAAAAATGTGCTCGTGCGAAAATTCTGAAATGCGTGCGTAGAAAAAAAACCATGATGTGTGCAACAAAAAATATCGGGATGTAGTCATATGAAAATGACAGGACGTGGTTGTGCGAAAATGTTGAGATGTGCGAGCATAAAAATGCTTACAAGAACGCATGTAAAAACGTCTACATACTCGCACATTGAAATGATACACGTGTGTGAAAATGTAAGTATGCAAGAGTTGAATCATTTGAATCTTAATTATATTTATTTTCATGAATGAATTTAGCAGCCCTTGCATGAATGACACCATGGTTGCCGCCTACTCAGCTACTGTTGAATGACACTCATTGGTAACTACAGTGGCTTAATTGAAATCATTTTTCGATAAAATTTCATGGCTAAGATTTAATAGCCAGACTTTAATTCACATTCAATAGTAATAAATCAAGCATGATGCAACTAAAGAACAGGTCTATCGCCGATCTCTTGCTTGCATGATATTAAAAATAATGAAAGGAAATATTTCTGATTCATGGTAATACAAACTTTCTGGGAATACAAAATTTTCTAATCACATATTACATCTATATAACCATCGATTTTAAGAAATTAATTCTTACCTCTACATCTTATCTTACCAGACGCCATAACGACTATAGTCAGCCCCAGACGTTGCTGCCGGTCGAGTGGCTCTCTTCTACTCTCCGATATAATCAATGATTAATAATATTTGTCATAGGTTACAAACATGTATTATTATG